GAAAGCAGAGAATACCAGAAAGACGTTTACCTGTGTTTTATTGACTATGCAAAGGCATTCGACTGTGTGGATCATAACAAATTCTGGATAATATTACGAAGAATGGGAATTCCAGAACACTTAACTGTGCCCATGAGGAACCTGCAGATAGACCAAGAGGCAGTCATTTGAACAGAACAAGGGGATACTGTGTGATTTAAAATCAGGAAAGGTGTGCGTCAGGGTTGTATCCTTTCACCATACTTATTCAATCTGTATGCTGAGCAAATAATCCAAGAAGCTGGACCATATGAAGAAGAATGGTGCGTCAGGACTGGAGGAAGACTCATTAACAACCTTTGATACGCAGATGACACAATCTTGCTTGCTGAAAGTCAAGAGAACTTGAAGCACTTACTGATGAAGATCAAAGACCACAACCTTCATTATGGATTACACCTCAACATAAAGAAAAAAACAAATCCTTACTACTGGACTAATAGGCAACAACACGATAAATGGAGACAATACTGAAGTTTTCAAGGATTTCATTTGACTTAGATCCACAATCAATGCCCACGGAAGCAGCAGTCAAGAAATCAAATGACACATTGCATTGGGCAAATCTGCTGATAAAGACCTCTTTAAAGTGTGAAAAACAGATGTCACTTTAAGGACTAAGGTGTGCCTGACCCAAGCCATGGTGTTTTCAATCGCCTCATATGCGTGCCAAAGCTGGACAATGAATAAAGAATACCATTGAAGAATTGATGCCTTTCAATTATGATGTTGTTAAAGAATATTGAATATGCTGTGGACTGCCAGACAAACAAACCTGTCTTGGAAAAAGTACAGCCAGATGCTCCACAGAAGCAAGGATGGGAAGGCTTTGTCTCACATACTTTGGACATGTTATCAGGAGGGATCAGTCCCTGGAGAAGGACATCATGCTTGGTGAAGTAGAGGGTCAGTGAGGAAGAGGAAGACTCTTAACAAGATGGACTGACACAGTGGCCGCAACAATGGTCTCAAGCATAACAAGGATCATGAGGATGGCGCAGGACCAGGCAGTGTTTCACTGTTTTGCATACGGTTGCTATGAGTAGGAAGCAACTTGATGGCACCTAACAGCAACAATATATATCTATTTATATATTCCTTATGTTAGAAAAATCTATGATTGAAATCAGCTTGCATTTGGGGCTGTAGAAAGATGTAATACTTTAAAATGCCAATTTTCTGAATTAAATGAAATATTCAGTAATGCCAGCTTTTTTCCTTTTCTTACTTGAATGCAAAAAACAGGGCTAGATAATTTTTATGAATGTTAAGTAAACACTCTTGATCAAAATCATGGGTTATTACTATGTTTACTAACATTAAAGAAAATTGGTTAAATTCCAAAATAACTTTGTTGTAATATTATTACATTCCTTTTATTATTATCTTTCCTTTTATTATTATAATTAATTATACACTTATTTTAACTTGTTTTCTCAGGGCTTTTTCAGTAGCGACTGTGGTTAGTGCTTCACATGCATTATTTCAATTAGTCCAACTACCATAAGAAGCAAGACTGATTTCCCTATTTCACAGATGAAGAAACTGACTCTAGGGAATTCAAGAGTCTTGTCCAGGACACAGAAATAATACCTTTACAATATGGTGTTTCATTCTTTCTTTTTTCTTGTCAAAATTTCAGATGATTAAACTTAATTCTGATTTAAAAAAAAAAAAAAAAGTGCTCCTTCAAAAATATGACATTTTTGTCAAAATAGCTATATGAAATTGAATTTTTAACAATGACTGTGATTGGTGTAGCAGTTAAGAGCTTGGCTGCTAACCAAAAGGTCAATAGTTTGAATCCACCAGCCTCTCCTTCAAAACCCTATGGGGAAGTTCTACTCTGGGCTATGAGTCGGAATCGACTAGACGGCAACAGGTTTGTTTTTTTTTGGTTGTTGTTGCTGTTGTTTTTCTATTTAAAATAAAAAACAGAACAAACTGGTTATGTAACTTGTCCCTTCAGCCACTGTGATGGTTAATATTGTTTGTGTCAGCTTGGCTGGGCCATGATTTTCAGTGTTTTGGCGGTTGTATAATGTTGTGATCACTTCCCTGTTGAGATCTGATACATGATCATCCCCATGATGGGATCTACTGTGGTACCGATGGGGTCGGGGCCTGTGGTGGCTCACCGCCCCCCAACCCCCTCAGCCTTCATCTCTCCACCCTCCGCCTCCTAGCTCTTCCTGCTCGCCTAGCCCTGGGCTTTTGCTTGTTCTAGATCCTGCAGCTGGCTCCTGTTCATCTGACCTCCGGTTCTTGGGACTTAAGCTAGCAGCTTGCCTGCGGATCTTGATATTCGTCAGTCTTCACAGCCTGCTACAGCCCTGCTTGCCAACCTACACACCTTGGGTTCGCCAGCCCCTGCAGCTACATGAATCAAGAGAAACCTCTTTCCTGCCCCATGAACTTGGGACATTACAGCCTCTAAAAACCACATCAGCCATTTCCTTGATATAAATCTCTATGTGTGTATATACACACACACACACACACACGTGTATATATATATATATATATATATATATATATACACACCTTACTGGTTTTGTTTCTCTAGAGAACCCAGCCTAAGACAGCCACACTGGCCCCTTTGCGTTTTATCAAACTCCGTCTGTACTCTCCTGCCACAAGGCCTTTGCATATGCTGTCTCCCCATCCTCATCTTGCTCCTTCACTCCTCTGCCTACTTAACCCCACTTCGTCCTCTGGGGCACAACTTGATCTCTCTGACCAGGTCAATTCCTTGGTCTCAAAGCATCATATACCTCTTCTTCTCATAACTAAAATTTTACCTTTATTTCTATGATTCTCTACTTCATGCCTGTCTCACATACTAGGCAATAAGCTTCATAAAAGCAGCAGTCGTTCCTGGTTTTTCTCACCATTTTAACCCCAATGCCTGGCACACCGTAGAAGCTCAAAGAAAAAATCTACAGAAGGAAGGAAACTAACATTTACATTGTCTTCCTTGTGATTCCCTGAACATGCCAGATATATTCCTACCTCAGGGCCCTTGCATCTGCTGTTCCTTCTGCCCGGTAGTCTCTTCCCACAAAAATCCCCATAGCTAGTTCCTTCCTCTCTTTCAAGTCTTTGCTCAAATGGCATCTTCTACATGAGGCCTTCCTTGAACATCCTACTTTAAACTGCATAAACTCTTCCACTCCAACCTCTGTACATTCGTCAGTTCCACCTCTTTTATTTTTGCTGCAGCATTTACTATGCCCTAAAATACTAAATATCTTACTTATTAGAGTATTATCTGTCTCCTCCCACTAGAAGATTAACTCCATAAGGGTAAGGATTTTCTTCAGTGCTGTATTTCCAATGCTTAAAATAATTTCTAGCTCATAGTAAAAACTCAATAAATATTTTTGAAAAAATAACTGACTATATATAACAAGATGACATAAAATTTTGTCAAAATTTTTCTACTTTCAAAATTTATCTTAACATACATCTTTATCTTCATACTTATCTTAAAACACAATTCAGCCCAACAATCCTATTGAAACCAACTGTACCCTTCAAAAATTCTCCTGTCTAGTCAAGCTAATCTCCTTACCATCTTCAGACCATCATGATTTTTATCCCCCTGGACCCTTCTTCCGAAATTACTTTCCTCTTTCTTCATTCCTCTCCTAAATTCTTCCCATCCAAAGGCTTCCATTCCTTTAAGTATACTATGTAAAATCTAAGAACTCTTTCCTTGTCACCACAGCCTATGTTCATCCTTCTCTCATCTAAACACTCGTATCCCATTAGCTAGGGCTCATTCCAAACACTAGTTAGCATCAAGCTAACTACATAAGAATGACTCTGTGAAGATTTAAACAACAACAAAAAAAAAAAACAACATTTTCTAAGGTCTCAGTGCAGATCAGGCAAATCAGAGTTTCCAGGATTGGGACACAGGAATCAGTATTTTCTTTAACGTGTCCTCAAATGATTCTCATTCACAGCCTGGCCTAAGAACAACTATCTATACTATGGAGTCTAAAACTAGTCATAAAGTACTTTGTGGCTATATTTAAATAAACATTCCTTATGTGTGCCTTCTAGAACTTCTTTTAGAGAAGAAGTCTTATAAAATTTAACCATAATAACCACGAGGTGCATGTTTATCTTAAGACTTTTCATTAAACGTCAAATACACATGTCCCGTGTCAAATAGTACAACTGATGGCCCTAATTTTGAAATAAATCATTCAAATCCAATCTTAATATCTTGATTCATAGATATGCAAAGGCATTTTCAAAAATAGCATATTGATATCATAGGAGAGCATATATTGCAAAAAAAAATGTAATTAAGCTTATCAAAATGAGCAGCAACCAAAACTCAGTAAAAGAAAAAAAAGTTAACCCAATCATAGTTTACTAACCTGTTTGTTTTTCTCTGCCATGGAAAGTTGCAATGCCAAGAGCATGGAGTCTGCACCACACACAGTAGTTCGTTCAGAGTTACAAAGAGTGTGCCAATTCCGTCTAAACTCTTTGATCATATCCAAGACAGACTTCTGATAAAGCACAGTCATCCTCTTAAAGTAGGACAGGATACAATGTTAAATTGCCTTATTTTAATAGGAAATAAATATCTAACATGTGTAAACAAACAGAAAAAATAAACAGTGGATAAGAGGTCATTTCATATTGACCAAGGTTGTCTTTAATTAAATTTAGGCAAATAGAATAACAATACAATTCCTGCACAACCGTATTTTCCTCTCATTTAATTTTACGTAAAATCTTTTGAAATAACAAACCCTCAGTCTGAAAAATCATGCAAAACATGTATATTCTGCAAACTTATAATTATAGACAAAGGAATAACTAATTAAAGCTATATTTAAAAAAAATTTGTTTTCAGTAGATGGTAGTATCTGGTAAATTGCAAAAAAAAAAAAAAAAGAAAAATAGTCAAATTTCTTCCATCCCTATACGCTCTTTCCTCCCCACCAAAGAAGTGGTGTACTTTTCCCCTGTTTAAATCTGGGCCATCCTTGTGCCTTGCTTTGGCCAATAGAATGTGAGGAAAATGACATTATGGAAGTCTCTAGTCCAGGCCTCCAGAGTCCAGTGCAGAAAAAAGTTAACATAGCAGGCCTGACTGGCATCTTCAAAAGGCCTGCTTATAAGCTTGGCCATTGGCTGATGTCTGGGAACTTCAATCTCAGGAGGGTTCTCACCACCATTAATTGATAAGAGGGGCTCACGATGGCTAAACTGCATAAACAATATCAACATAGTTTATGCTGAACATCTGCTTTCCTTCTGGGAGTCTGGAATTCTGTCAGAGGCTGCCTAGGTATTCAGCCCACAATATAAACCCTGAGCACAGAGTCTCTTACAAGCTTCCTTGGTTGGCAACATTTCACATATGCTGTCACACTTGTTGCTGGGGGAATTAAGCACATCTTGTGTGACTCCACTGAGAGAGGACCTAGGAAGCTTGTACCTGGTCTCCCCTAGACTTCTCCCCATGCACCTTTTCCCTATGCTGATTTTGCTTTGTATCTTTCTCCTGTAATAAATCAGACTTGAATGACTATATGCTGAGTCCTGTGAGTCCTCTCAGCAAATCATCAAACCTGGAGGTGGTCTTGGGAGCCTCCTAACATGAGGCCTTGCTCTCACTCTCTTGCTACACTCAGATTGCCATGTGAAGAAGTCCAAGCTAGACTGCTAGAGTTGCACTCCAAGTGACAACGAACACCAACTCACAGATAAGTCAGTGTGACTGAGACTATCTAGCCCCAGTGAACCTACTAGATGAACTGCAGCCACATGATTAATCCCAGGCTCGTGACCAGCAGTAGAACCACTTAGCTCAGCCCAGCTCAAACTGTCGATCCACAGAATCACGAGCAAATAAAATGGTTGTTGCTTTAAGCTACTAAGTTTTGGAGTGGCTTCTTACATAGCAATAGATAACCGATACACTAGCTAATATTTAGGAGCTCTTACTTGGTGCCAGATACTTTTCAAAAGCTCAATATTTGTTAACTTGCTCAATCCTCACCAAAGTCCTATGTAGTGGGTATTATTATCCTCATTTTACATTTTATATCTGAAAACACTGGTGCCTCATGTCACTTAGCAAGCAAATGGCCAAAGCAGACCTAAACCCAAGATGCCTAACTCTATCAACTGTGCTCTTAAACCACCATGTTACATAACCTCTCCTGATCAGACAAAAGCCTTTCAAAAAGCTGTAGTTCAAATGCTTTATATAACCAAGCAAATTCCTTCCAAGTTTACAGATGTGCCTACCAAACACTTTTCTTCTTTAAGTACACCAGTCTCTGACATATTCACATGTCCACTGTGAATACTGTGCTGTATACATTCTATTTACTGACTCCTTCTAGTATCCTTTTCTTTTACTTTTATGTGGCATAAACGGAATCCCGTATGCTTACTAAATATCTTGGGTTCATATAGAAAAAAAGGTCACATGCCATTTACAAAATGAGTTGAGTTAAAACTGGAAGTGTTTAAATATAGACGTAATCAGTAATATAATTTAAAGATACAGATAGAAGACTATATGAAAATATCTACATAAATATAACTCCTCATAAATAGCTGAGAGTTTTATTTCCTTTAAAAAATCCCCTCTACCTTTTAAAAGGAAAAAAAAAGAGTCTGAAGACAAAATAAAGCTTCAGCTTCAGTAATATGATCACTTTGCCTAAAATATATCTTTGCCAATAAATTATTTACTGGCTTTAAAGGTATTATGAGTCCATATTGCTAAGAATGAAAACTCTTCCAAAATTAGACTGTTCTAATCCTGGGTCCACCACTTAATAGCTGTGAGGTCTTAGCCAAGTTATGTCAGCTTTCCCTGCCTCAGGTTACTCATTCTGAAAATGAAAATAATGACAGCTCCAATCTCATACGGTTTTGTGAAAAGCAAATAAGTACAAATAAAACTTTTAAAGTAGTGCCTGGCACGTATAAGGGCACATGGAATGTTAGCTATTATCGTGCATTATGAGTTTCTAGGTTGTTATGAGCTAAAATTGACAGAGTATTATTATCGGAGACAGAAAACAAACAGTCTCCTCCAGAGGTCAGCAAACTTTTTTGGAAAGAGCCAAACAGTAAATATTTGAGGCTTTGCAGGCCCCAGGGTCTCTGTCACAACTACTAAACTTGCCCTTGTAGCATGAAAAGAGCCATCGACAACATATAAATGAATGAGTGTGGCTCAGTTGGAACATGCTCCAATAAAACTTTATTTATAGACATTGAAAGTTGCATTTCATACAGTTTTCACATGTCAACAAAATGTTACTCTTCTTTTGGTTTTTCCAATAATTTAAACATTAAAATCAAATTTTAGCTCAGGAGCTGGCTGCACAAAAGCAGGCAGCACAGACGGTTTGCCAACTCCTGGTCTAATACCAGCTCTTCCAACAGCTGTGTGAAACTAGGTGATATACTTTATATCTATCTGGCTGCCTAAGTAACGAGAACAGGAATACTACTCATTCTATCAACCTTCCAACCAAGTTATGAGGACTCAGTGAGATAATGAAAAACAAGTGTTCTGAATGGGCAGGCTGTACTATACAAAAACAGTAGAAGGTGGTAGTGATAAAAAATATTTGTTTTAAAAAATTGGATTCCAAGTGGTGATGATTGCACAACATGGTGAACGTAATTAATGTCACTGAATTGTACAAGTAAAAATGGTTGAAATGGTAAATGTTTTGTTACATATGTTTTCCACAATTTTTTTTAAAACTGGATTCAAAGCTGTACTGAAGCAAAAATTGTAGGAGAGGAAATTGTCACCGGGGAGGCAGTGTGAGATGGCTGAAAGAACTATACTTGCGACTCAGGGTTCTCCCTTTTATTAGCTGCACATCCTTCACTATGTAAAATCTCTGATAGTCTCAATCTCTTCATATGTAAAACGGAGAAGATAATTCCTACTTTTTTGTGAGATTTTAATGACACAAGTACAGTTACTTAATAGGTGCTCAATAAAAAACGACAGCCGTTGCTGTTATTATTGTCAAAATTCAGATCCTAAACGTTCCCTGAAAGGATATCACAGGAGGTCGAAAGTATTTGATTGGAGTCAGCGTCCGTGCTGGGGCTAGAACTCTGGTTTCCTGCCTAATGGACCTTATTAAGCAGGCTGCCCTGTCTGGGCTTTAGTTTCCCAATCTGCAGACGCTACCTCAGGACCTCCCGGCACCATCACTGGATACTGTGAACTCTGTCCGACGCCCCCAGACCCAACCAGATTTCAGCGCGAAGCAACTGCACAAATAACATCCCCACAAGGTCACATGACGCTTGGCTGGTACAGAAACACTCTCACAAACCCTAGCTTGAATCACTACTTAAAGTACGACAGGCGGGCAGGGGAGAGGTGAGACTCACCTGGCTCTAGGGAGACCCCCGCAGGTGCAGACTTGACCAAAAAAAGGTCCTGCAGGGATACCCGCTCGCGAATGCTTTTGCCACCACAGGTTACATTTCAAATCTCGCGGGAGAGCCCGGGAGCCAATCGCCGCGCTCGCCCTCCGACCCGGAAGCAGAGTCGGCGTTTGCCGCTGCGGCCCCCAGCGGAGACCAGCTTCCCTCTGGACCCGGCCGGGAGCTCTTCGGTGCGTATAGCGCTGGGAACACAAAGGAGCGTGCCGCTTTGCTGCTGGCCGCCCTGCGCTCCCACCCTGTCCCCTAGACTTTTTTCTCCCTCCGGGCTATTCCCACCCCTCCTCCTTCCGACCGCGGGTCCGGGGAGGCGGGAGCAGGTTCTCATGAGACGCACCTGTCCCAGGGAGAGACGTCGGGACTCGTTGCAGAGACTTTCCTTGGGCTCACTCTCCATCTCTACTCTTACAGTTTTAGATTGGAAAGTCTAGCCTGCCGTGTACAGTGAGTCCCTAAGAAGTGTAATGAGATCCGATAATGCTTTAATGAGCCACAGGTCCGAAGCCGGGACCAAATTTCCTCGGATCTGTTGGGCTTCACACACGGTTTTGCCTCCGTGGGCATCTCAGCTGCTGATTACCCTTAACAAGTGTCCAGTCCCGGATGCCCACTTGTAAGGTTACTAGTTTATTAGCTCTCTGAAGTGAGATTCATCTTAACTGATTATTAGTAAACACCCGTCAGGTGTTTGTTGTGTTTGTTACTAAATCCAGGTGTTTTTAAGCGCATAAAACTCTTGTATCTATTTTTAAAAGAAACTCTTTAGAATCTATAATTTACATCAGGGAATCCTGTTTCCAGAATGCACATTAGGCCCAGATTGGTTAGTTGAAGTTTCGTGTCTGGTATTATGAATATTGTTTTTATATCAAACATTTTGGCACTCCTTTCTCTACATCCAGTCATATTTTGTATATGCTTCTATTATAGTCGTTTTCACGCTGGACCTTGAATTTGTGTTCTCCTGTGTTTTTCTTCCCTATCATTGATGCCCAGCATATGGAAAAATCTTTCAAATCCTGGCTCCCCTTTGGAGCTTGGGAAGTTACTTAACTTAAAGCTTCGATTTCTTCATCTGTAAAATGGGGACCATAAATAGTACCTGCCTCTTAAGCTTGTGCGAATATTAAATGTGATAATATCTGGAGTTTACTTGGCATGGTGCCTACATATAGTGCTCAGTAAATGTTAGCTATTTTTAATTTTTATGAATATATTTATTATTAAACTGATCCCATTTTCAAGCGCTCACCAAGTCTTTTAGACAGTCCAAACACAATCTTACCATGATTTACTCTGCAAGTATCATTCACAAATGTGAAAAGAGGAAAACTATAAAGCAGGTGTTGCACCATTAATAATTTCATTGAATTATTTTCCTGCTGTTTCTGTGATAAGTAAATATTTCATTCTTTTTGAACCATCTGTGGCAGTGCAATGCCACATATTTAGCGTGATTCATTTGCTGAATAACACTTTGACCATTTCCAATTCTGTTTGTGTTATAATCCACAGTTTCGTGACCTTGTCCAGTAGGAGGCTATTTTATTTTTACAACTGCTCAAGTTTTGACATACGAGATGAAGCAAGACGCCACAAGAAATGCTGCCTACACTGTGGATTGTGAAGATTATGTGCATGTGGTAGAATTTAATCCATTTGAGAGTGGCGATTTAGGAAACCTAATTGCATATGGTGGCAATAATTATGTGGTCATTGGCACGTGTACATTTCAGGTTAGTCTACAAAACTGTGGTGAATGACAATGAAGGTATTTCACTGATAAGAAAACTTAAATACATGCCAGAGCTAAACTTTGAAATTATATTGAGTTTGAGAGTAAAAAAAGTGATACAAAGAACCACAGAAAAGGACATTGCCAGTCATATATGTCTGAGAGTGTGCAAACATTACACAGGTGGTGACAAAACTCCCAATTAAATGGGACGCAGTTAATGACAATTTTTAATCATTCCACTTTTACATAGGAGACAAGCTACTCTTGAGAGCCTAAAATCAGTCCTCCGGGGGATTTTGTAGCTTTCATAAGATTCTACTTTTCTGTTAATATGCTGTCATACTTTTTACACATCCAAAACATGCAATTAGAATATGCAAAGTGTGAAATCATATTGATTAAGCAGACAGTTCAGCATCCTCATTAAGAGCATGAACTCTGGATCCGGAATGCCTAAGTGTTTCCTCCTGCCTGGCTTTACCTCTTAATAGCTGTGTGACCTTGGGCAAGGTACTTAACCTGTCATCTACAAAAATTAGGAAAAAAATACTTAATACGGTTTTGTGAAGTTTAATTAGCACATGTACAGTTCCTGGAATAGCATCTGGCACATTGTAAACCATGTATATTTTATCTGTCATTGATTTGGACAATGATGACACTCAGGCACAGTCCTATGTTTAAATCGCCAAAGTAAGATTGATCTGTGGTGAGCACACACCGTGTTTTCTCAACGAAAAGCTAGTTCTTCGTGTGAGAAAGACTTTGAACAATGAGGGTTTAACCCTCAGGAATCTTGGTTAATCCTTTGTTTACCGGAATATTATTCATAGAATCTTATTTCTCAAATTATGATTATTCGATTAGGTAATTTGGCAGTGACCAATTTTCAAAGATTTAAAATAACTTTCTCACTAAAACCATCATAAGCATTATTTCCTCTTTTACCCAAGAGGCAGTTCAGCATCTTAAAGTGTTTTGACATTATAAATGCAATTTAGCATTTTAAAGTACAGTAAATGTGTAAAGTTATATAAAATTGAACTGCATTCATATTTATCCTACAGGAAAGTACGAGTTAAAGGTTTCAGTTTGTTGGCGTCTGAATGGAATATGAGAGCTCTTACATTATTCCGCATTGTCTGTTAGGGTGGGAATAGGAATTTCTAGCTTTTAGGCTAAAATGACCCTTGGCTGACTTCAGCTGAACTACCATATTATTGTTGTTATTTGTTATTAGTTGCCATCGAGTCGATTCCAACTCTTGGCGACCCCAAGTGTGCAGAGTAGAACTGCTCCATAGGATTTTCAAGGCTGTGAAGCTTTCAGAAGCAGATCATCAGGCCTGTCCTCCAAGGCACCTCTGGGTGGGTTCAAACCTCCAAACTTTTGGCTAGTACTTGTGTGCTTAACTGTTTGCAACACCCAGGGACTTCTTGAGTGCACACGAGGTGCTGGAAACTGATGACACATTTGTTAAAAAAGCAGAAACCCTTATTTAAAATAGGAGATTTTAAATGTAAAACAATGCATTAAAACTGCTATAAAAGCCCTATGTGAAAAGGCTGGAGGGAGCATGAAAGTTTCTAAGTCTATTCAAAGGATCTTCATTATGAATTGAGGCCTCTGGTGGTATAGTGCTTTGTCTCCCCACCCCTCCCCACCTCATCCCCACCCCCCAACCCCCGCAACATTTTTATTAGGACTTGGATGAGAACACTGATTTAGGCGAACACGTTCAATTTATATAGAACACAAAGCTGTGAAGAGTACCTAATACTTTGGATGACAGACTTCAGTTAAGTATTTATTGAGCACCTGCTATATACCAGCTCTGCTAGAATCCAAACCTTGTTCAGTAGCTGGGATTAGTGGGCCAAGTTGAACAAGCCAGAATTTAATAAAGGTGAATACATATAAAGTCTTAAAATGATAGACTGTGAGAGCTGGAAGGAAGAAATGGGACTTAGTGTTTACTCACCTTGGTGTTCACCATGAGTCAGTGTAATGATTAGACTGTCAGAGGGGCCTCATTTGGTGAGGTCCAATAGAAATATGAGTCACAAAATAATTTTAGTAGCCACATTATAAAAAGTAAACATCAGGTGAAATTTATTTTGATAATATATTTTATTTAACCTAGTATTTCTAAAACATAATTTTAGCATATAATCAATGTAAGAAAATTAATGAGATATTTTATATTCTTTTTGTACTAAGTTTTTGATATCTGGTGTGTAATTTTATACTTTTATAGCACATCTCAGTTTGAGCTAGCTACATTTCAAGTGCTTAGTAGCCACCTGTGGCTGGTGGCTATCATACTGGTCAGTGCAGCACTATATCCTCCTTTGTAAATTGTCAGTTATGTTAAATATTTACTTTAGCCATCAGTGGTGTATTCTAGTTCAAAAGAGATAATGTATTTGAAGACAGATTTTAAAATAGTATTAAAATGTTTAAAACAGTCTTGTGGAAGAGGGATTAGACTAGGAATGGTAAGTGGGTTTTACGTTATCTGTCAACTCTGATTAGAATTACTGCTTATGGTGTGTGCTGATGCTGAATGTGCTTCCTTGAGTGTGTTTACCTGTGGAAAATCAGCTGTGGCCAGGTGTTTGCCATCACTAACTTAGACTTACTCTGTATGGTGCCAAGAGGAGAACTTAGACCAAAGAGTTGAATTTACATGGAAATGGATTTTGGCTTAAAGTTGAGAACTTTTCTAATAATTAGAGCTATCCCCAAATTGTATAAGCTTCCCCCAAGAAGCAAGTAGGTCCCTCTTACTGGAGATATTTGGAGGAGGTTGTACCTCTTTTTACAGATGTTCTACCAGAGAGTCAGTTAGATGAAAGAATTGAACTAGATAAACTTTACAGTCTCATCTGAATCTGAAATCCTGTATTTGGCCTTAAATGGATATGGTGGGACAGCCTGCCAATTTCAAACCCTTAGAATAACCCTTCCATCGACCTGGTTTTGCCCCAACCTCAAATATGCTAGAGCCTTGTGTAATCATTTGTATTATAGCAAGCTTTCCAAAGTTTCTTAATTTCCTGCCTATACAGTACTGCTACACCCCACACAAAACCCAAAATAGCATTCATCTCTCTGCCTGTACCACACACATACACACCCTGCCCCTTTAGTTGCAAATGTTGCTTCCAAGAAAAAAAGCTTCACTGGTAATACATAAAGCTCAGGCTATACAGTCCCTGGGATTTCTTTATCCCTACTCTCAATCACCACCTAATAACTCCATCTGTAATTTGAATGAGAAATTATAGTACCTAATTGTCACTACTACTGTTACAGTAGCAAAATAATGTGTGTTTTAGTATAAAAACTTCATTTCTCAGAAGATTGATTTGTCAAGTGTGGAAAAGGAGAAGTAACCCAAACTATGAAGTCAGTTTACGATTAGGCTGCTAAACTTACTTTAAAATTGCTTAGCTGTTGCTGCCTTGGCAAGTTTGGCTGTTAGGTATATGGCTGTTATACACACAAATTATGAAAGTGATAGAAATCAGCATTGTTTTTCTTTCCTTGATAAATGTGTTTCTAGTTCATTTTTTTCATTTATGGAAAAACTTTTGCTGTTAACTCTAAGTTCATCTGAATTTAAAGTAAATTTCAAAGGGTATCTGAATTACGTAGAGAAGGACACATGTAATGTATCTGTGCAGTGACTTTGCTAGGATCCCAAAGGCCCTTCTGGGAAAAATCAACATATCCACCTGAATCAATTAGAACGTAACACTATAAAGCCTTCCATTTTGATTCTGGCTGAATGAAATTCAGCTTATCAGACTAGGACTTCAGATAATTGCTATCTATATACACATGTATTCCATTTAATAGCAAGTTTCACCTGCTCTGGATTTTTTTCCCTGATAGAATTTTATAATCCCATGAGGTTTTTGTAAAAGATAACTATAATCACTTAATGTAGAGAATACCTTGGGTAATTATTCATTTTTTAAATTGCAATATTTTATGCTTATGTAAGTATGTATTATATGTATACAGTATAAAGAATAATAATAAAATGAATCCCTACTACCTAACTATCTTAAGAAATGAAACATTAGCAATTCCTTTGAAGCCCCTTGGGTTTTCTTCTCTTACTGCCTTCTGGCCACCAAGAGCTAGCCATGTCTAAAATGTTATGTTTGTCATTCCTTTCTTTTATTTATAAGGTTGCCATATGTGTTAGTATCCCAAGTCAGTCAATTGTTTTTCATGTTTTAGGCTTTATATCAATGAAATTATTCTGTATTGTGTTCTTTCATAGTTTGTTGCTATTGCTTAATATATTTTTGATATTCCTCTATGTTGAAGTTTATTTTCACTGCTGTGTGGTTTTATAAGTATCCCACAATTTATCCACTCTCCTATTGATCAATATTTGAGTTACTTTTAGTTTTTTACTATTGAAAACATTGCTAATGATTCTTATCATGTCTACTACTTGTTTTTTTTTACCCTCTTGTTTATTTTTTCCCTGTTAGTAGAAGTTTTACATGCTGTTTCTCTCTTTTTAATAGTTACCGAAGACATTTTAACATGCATACTTAATTAGGCAAGAAATTATATTTACCTTCTTTATGAACAGGACAAGGGCCTTTGTACCTTTGAACTGTTACAGTCCCTCCAAAGTTACATTGTTGTCCAGCATTTTAGTTTTCTATCATTTTTCTTTTCATTTTAACTAACAAATTAGATGTTGTTTTATATGGCCAGTATTTTATATCTGATAATTATTTTTCTCTGATGTCTTTGCAGGTTTCATTCTACTATTTTGTTGTTTGTGTTCATGGTCCTTTGTTTCCACATATGGGAGTGCATGCGTGTAAGATCATGTTTGATTGGACAGTATCTGTGGTAACTGTTTGAGGTCTAGGCAGAGGTAGTTCACCCAGAGAGAATTTGCCTTTGGTCCTGTTAGTTGGTGGGGGCCACTACCAACATGACCACCTTGAAATGAATTCTTTGTTATTTCCTAGACCATATAGTTTGTGTGAATTCAGACCTTAAGCCAATGGTTGGGATTCCTCAGGAGTGTCTTTTTCTTGGCCTTCACCCAGAGCCATGATAGGTATTTTCCACAGCAGCTTCCCCCCACGTCCCACCCCCTTCACCTTTAAGGATCTTGGATCTATGCAGAGGTCTCTAATCTGGCATCCTTCCTTGTATAGGCACTAAGCTTTGTTTCCTGTCCCTTACAAACTGAAGCTTTAGGTCATTTTGGTATGGGCAAATGCTGTTAAGGCAGCTGTGTTTCTTTCTAGGTTTGGATTTTTGCATTATTTTTGTGGTGGAAGAGCTTCTCAGGTTATTATCCATATTGCCAGACATAGGGATGGCTTGGCTTTTTAAAATTCATTTTTCTCCCATCTTCCCATGAGGATACAACTGAAATCATTTCAGAAGTACAGACCAGGTAAATTGTCTTTATTAAGCATTTTTACTGAGAATCAAATATCAAAAAGACTAAATTAACCATAGTATTATATGCATATTCACTATTCATAGGCTACTAGTACAGATGACCTATTTGTAATGTCTTACACTTATATAGTGCCATTTATAATACTATATGAAAATCATTGATACTTATTATAATGACTTTGAGGCACCGTGAGGTCCCAGAGTATCTTCCACATAATCAAAATTTTATGTTCAGTATAGATGTTTTTTCATATTGCATTCTAAGTCTTTGTCAGTTGATAATCCATGTGTGGTAATTCATTTACCTAGAATACTCTGATTCTCAGAGCATTCCTTTTTCATTGAATTTGCTGTGAAATGTGTTTACTATTAGGAATAAAACATCTCCTAATTAAGATAAAATATAACATGTTTATTGTTTATTTTAGTTGCTTTTGACTTATTTTGTGAGACTTAGCTTTGGTGTTGGTGGTGGTTTTTTATTTCAATGAGCTGGTTAAATCTGGATGTCAAGTTTGGATTTGAACTTCTCAAAAACAAATATGTGATCTGGTAAATTCTTCATTACAGTGATATACAGATACAGATTATTATGTTCTTTCTCATAACTTACTAAACCATTTACTGTTTATGCTTAGGAGGAAGAAGCAGACGTTGAAGGAATTCAGTATAAAACACTACGAACATTTCACCATGGAGTCAGGGTAGATGGCATAGCTTGGAGCCCAGAGACTAGACTTGATACATTGCCTCCAGTAATCAAGTAAGTTTGAAATTATTTTTATGCAAAATTTATTAATGTCCTTTGATGGCGATAAGTGATCTCAAGTCTTTAATCATGGAGATTTTTCCCCCAACTCTAGATACTAGATATTTTGACATTTGCTTTTATTTCATAACTTTGGTTTGTCATCTGCCTTTGGATTTAAACAGGCAGCCATGGCAGTGGTGCCTTGACCACGCATTTGGGCCTAACTACAAAGCTCTTTACCTGAGATTCAGGTGGATTTGAAGTATTTTCATATTCTTCACTGAGTTTGCCACTTTAATTATTAAAGGTACAGCTCTGTTAAAATGACTAAATTGGGTTCAGGCATTAATCAACTGTTTTGCCCCATATGTAGATGAGGGTCACATTTTCATGTTTTATGGTTTATAAATGTAGTTTTAGTCCTTGGGCTTTAGTTTTTGTGAAAGCATTTAAAAAGAGCGATTATTAGAAAAATCTCTACCTGCCTTCTTCATGAGGGCAAGAATATGTCTCATTATTTAAGGTTTGTAACAAAACACTAAGTTTGCTTTCTGTAATTATTGAATCTAAAAGGTACAGTATGTCTTCTTGTAGTAAACACTTCTTAGCAGCCAGAAGTTTGCTTCTACCAAGCTAACTTAATTTTTTTTAATCAAAGGATAATTTACATACAATGAAATGATGAGATCTAAAGGGTACAGTTTAATCAATTTTGATAAATGTGTACACTTGTATAATTTATACCCTCCTAAAAAACAGAATTTCTGTCACCCAAAAAGTTCCTTCATGCCTCTTCCCAGTCAATCCCTGTACCCTGCCCCTCACCAAAGCAACTATGGGTCTAATTTCTATTACCAGAAATTAGTTTTGCCTATTTCAGAACTTCATATAAGTTTAGTCATGCAGACTATATTTTTTTGTGTCTGGCTTAATGTGTTTGAGATTTATCCATGTTGTGTATACCAGTGGTTCATTTTTGTTTTTGATGGTATTGCATGACGTATGAATATACCATAGTCTGTTTATCCGTTCTCCTGTTAATGGACACCTGGCCAGTTTACAGTTTTTAGCTATTCTGACTAAAGTTTCTTGGAGCATTCCTGTGTACAACTTTTGATGGATATATGCTTTCATTTCTCTTAGTAGATTTGCTGAGTCAGAGGGTAGATATATGTTTAATATTTTAAGAAAGTATAAGTTTCCAAAGTGGTTCTAACATTTTGTACTCCCAGCAATAATCTTATAAAGTGTCGACCCAAGTCTTTTGCCCATTTCTTAATTGGATTGTCCTGTTATTCTTTATATATTCTGGATATAAGTCCTTTGTCAGATGTATGTGCTATTATTTTCTTCCGATCTGTGGCTTGCCTGTTTATGTTCTTCATAGTGTCTTTTGATGAGAAGTTTTTAATTTTTGTAAAGTCCTGTTTCTTTTACGGGTAGTGCTGTCTGTGTCCTAAGAAGTCCTTGCCTACAACAAGGTTATGAAGATGTTCTCCTGTGTCTTTTTCTGGAAGCTTTTATAGATTTTGACTAACTTAATTTTGAATAATCTGTACAACAACTCTTGGCAATAGCCAAACAGGAACAGTTGACATTAGAGAGAGAATAGTTGTCATGTCCTTTGTTGCTCTTGATTTTCTCAGTTGACCTTAGATTCCCAGATAATTGTAAAGGTAGACTTAATTACGTTAGCTCTCTGTAGAAATGTCTTCACAAAACTACAACTTAACATTATGTTCTGAGCTTTGAGGAAATTTCAGTGTAAAGAATGACCATATGAATAACATATATATGATCATATAGCCAGTATGATCATATGGTTAGTGTGCTATTCATTTCCATTTCTATTAAAATGAAATGTTCACAGAATCTGTGCCTAAACAAGAATCAGTCTCTTTACATTCTTTATATGAAATCCATCTCTTCTGGTTCTGAGTTAAGTTTTGTGATGCTTCTGTTAACCTAGATTTTCTGGTGTTATATTCTGTACTCCCTTCATTGCTTGGCACCTGTTTTCCTGTCCCCTTTTAACGGATTTGTTGTTTTATTTTATTAGCTTTTTGGGCTTTTTTAAACTCTGTTTTGTTTTGTTTTTTTCCTTTTGGTAAGCTGCCTCAAATCCATTTTAGAGCTAGACATATATGAATAATAAATTTAGAAAACATTAACCAGCCATTAAAGACAATATTTTTAAAGCAAGCTGACAGCACATTTTGTTGTTTTCAAATAAAGTATATATTTTTTTACAAAAATAGTGTATACTGTATAAAATTTGGAAAACACAAATATAATAAGGGGAAAATATGCCATCTCTATATTCTGTAACACATGGGGTCATTATGAGTCAGAATCGACTGGACAGCATATAAATAATTTTACACAATTGTGATTAAACTATATATACAAGTTTATATACTTCTTTTTTAACTTTACATTTTTTCATGCTATTCCAAAATAAATAATATTTTTTCATGATTACATATTGATCTATCAAGATGACTGAGGTTTAACTTAGTATCTCTTACCATATTTAACTTTTTATCTTTTGGTTAGAAAGAAACTCTTGCTGATGATTTATCTTTAACATTTAATTTCCTTAAGTCCTAGTCTCTCTCTCCCTGCCTGCGTACTCGTTTCTATAACCACTTGCTTATTTTTCACAACAGCTGGAGAATAAACTGTTTTCCTTACTTGGGTGCTCAGAGGTTCTGTGATTTTCTTAAAGTGATGAGGTGGCGCAGTGGTTAAGCGCTTGGCTGCTAACTGAAAGATCAGCAGTTTGAATCCACCAGCGACTCAGTGGGAGAAGGATGTGGCAGTCAGCTTCCCTAAAGATTTTACAGCCTTGGAAACCCTATGGGGCAGTTCTGCTCTGTTCCCTAGAGTCGCTGTGAGTTAGAATCGATTCGGTGGCAATGGGTTTGGTTTTTTCAAATGTATAAACTAAAGCAAAGCTTTGGAAAAAAGTAGGACAACACAGGCTGGCCATAAAATAATTTTGTGGAGTTTTTTTGTTTGTATTTTTGAGTTTTTTTAGATCCTAGTAAGATCTTTTTTTTTTAAGTAAGTATTCTTAACTCCTCTATTGTCTAACATTTTTACTGAACTTGGCCTCTTTTTACTAGTAACAGCTCTTTTTCAACCCCCTTGCTTGGGATATTTCTTTTAAAACCTAAAGTGACCTTTATCTGTTTTAGAGGTGCCATTTTGAACAAAGATTTTAAATGATTTCTTGATAACATAAATTTGAGTAAATCTACTTTAGGAGACCCTCAACATTAGTAGAAAATTTATTCTAGAATGTCCTGTAAGTGGGAAAATAATACCCAAAACAATAATGGGACAAATTCAAAGGAGAAGAATTAAGTAGAATAAGCTTTGTTTTTTAGTTTTTCTTCTTTTTTTGCATGTATCAAATACAGCATACATGGAAACAAGTGTATAAAATATATGTACAGTTTAACATGATTATTGAAATGCAAACATCCATGTAATCATCACCCAGGTTAAAAAAATAGAACATGTGGGGTCGCCATGAATTGGAATTAACTTGACAGCAATTAACAACAATATTAGTTTCCTAGGACTGCTATAACAAATTATCAGGTCCGCCATGTACCCCTTCCTAGTCAGAACCTTCCTTCCCCTTAATTAAAGGTAATCGTTCTCATGATTATTATGATAATCATTTTCTTGCCTTTCTTTATAGCTTTATCAGCTGTTCATACATCCCTAAACAATATAGTTTAGTTGTGCCTACTTTTAAACTTCTTACCATATATTGTGTTTGCGATTCATCGTGTTTCTTTGTAGCTCTAGTTATTCATCTACACTGAAACCTCTGAGGGCTGGAGTTCCACTGGACTGCCTTGTTTTTCCGAGTCTTGGAAGTTTTCTGCCTTTGACAGGTTGTAGTCTTGCCACATTTCTATCGCTATTAGTGGAAAATATTTACATTTTCCTTCTCTGACAGGTTTCTGCCTTATGCATGTTCTGGCTTTTGTAGGTTTTACTGTATATTGTTGCTTAGTATTTCATTGTGAATATGCTATAATTTATCCATTCTGCTGCGTTTCCAGTTTGGGGCAATTATAAGTAATTTGACTGCGAACATTGCTGTACCTATATCCTGGTTGCATGTGCTCACGTTTCTTTAGATATATATTTAGTAAATAATGGTTGTACCCATAACATACTTTCTCTGTAGCAGCTGGCACACAGCTATTCAATATTTCTTAGACTTCCTCTTTCTCATCCTTTACTCCTTTATCTCCTTGTCTCTTGTACCTGCAAGAGAGATGTGAAGAATGGATAGGGAGATGAGCTGAAGAAACTGAATCAAAGGAAAGTTGACTGGCCTAGATTGGAGATGTTGGACTGAGTTGGGAAATGCCCTGATACCAAATCTTGGACATTAGCAACCTATGATACCATGTGTGTGGCAAAAGACAGCACAAAGGGGGATTTTTTCCCCCAAAAAAACGTATTAGTTGCAACCAGGATCATAGTCAAATTATAAAGTGGACCTGGTTCGTTTTTGGTCTTCTCCTTCTTGAAATGTCCCAAATCAAAGCACTCATTTTCCTAATTCATTTTTAATTGAGTATAGATATTGACTAGATTATATGAAAAGAGCTCTGGTGATGATTAAGTGCTCAACTACTAACCAAAAAGTTGGTAGAACAAATCCACCCAGCAGCTCCATGGGATGAAGACCTAGCATTCTGCTCCCTTAAAGATTACAGCCTGAAAAATCCTATGGAGCGGTTCTACTCTGTCACATAGGGTCACTATGAGTTGAAAATCTGTTTGATAGCACCTAGCAACAATAAGGAGCCTAGGATTTGACATATCTTTGTGGGTCCACTATTCATCCACTACAGATGGTATGACATTCTTAAGCATTTTATGAATACACAAAAAATGCAAAATAAACTATGTACTAATGTAGTGTAGAATGCACCGTTTCATATAAACTCAAGAATCCACTACAAAATAACTTTCATTAAAACTTATGTTTCATATTTTTAAACTTTTGTTTTGTCCTACAACTTTTAATTTCACTTCTGAGAAAACTTTGGACAAAGAGGATTTGTCTGCTAACTTTGATCTGTTTCCTTCTGTGGCTCTTGACAAATCATCAAAAAGGGGTGTGGTAGCAGAGATGTACCAATGTATCCTAGCCTATAGATTAGGAGCCTTGCCTTAGAGAGGTCCTTAAATGTATTAGTGGACAAAAAGGGGTTAATTTTAATGTAGTCAGAACTAAAGGAGAAATTTAAATCCCTACAATATGCTGCTTATCAAAGAAGAATTAGAAATAAGCTCTGTTTTTCAACATATAAATATGATTTTTATTTTTTCTTAAACCATAATCTGATGTGCTGAGAATCTAGAAATTTTAGGATTGAAGGGGAACTAGTTAATAAATAATTGTTTGATGTTTAGATTTTATTTTTATTGTAGCATCCATTGAATAGAAAAAGTAAGGAAGCTTATGGATAACTGAAGAAATCAAAGACTAAAGTAGATGTGTAACTGTTTTTAATGTCTCTTATTGACCTGGCTAAAATGAAGATACTTTTTTAGTCCATCCTTTTATACTTTTAAGACAAAGCTTGAAATTAAATTTACTTGCTGCTTTATTATAAAATTCTAAATTTTATTATTGAGAAGACAACTCCAGAATATATGGATTTTTTAATGTATTCTTACAGTAAAATACTTAAACTACTTCCTACTTTCAGTAATGACTAACATTTTTTACCACAGATGCACAACATTCCCTATCTACTGCAAAAAAAAACTTGATTATGAATTTGGTAATTTTTTTTTCCGGTTGGTAGGGGGGGGGGCATTTCACTTATAGAGGTAGAAAATTATTTCTTTTATTTTGTTTTGATTTTGATTTTTTTGCTTCCAGATTTTGTACTTCAGCTGCTGACATGCGAATCAGATTATTTACTTCAGATCTTCAGGATAAAAATGAATACAAGGTATGTTGACAAGTATAATTTATAAATATTTAGAGTTTATTTTAAAACTTTTTTTTTCTTTTTTAATTGGATTTTTCCCCATTAAAATTGCCTTTTTATGGTCATCTTTAACGTAGGTCACTCAGGATCTCATTTATTTTATTTTAGGGTATAGGAACTAGATTCTTGGTAATGGCTGTAGATTATAAATCGGATATCGCTTATTAAATTAATTGAATTAGGCAGACATAGCTAGCAAATGGAGAAATAGAAATTCACAGTTGAGCAGTTGAGTATAGTAAGAGAATAATAGACATGAACACACATAGAGTAAGAGTTCAACTTCAAGGGAATAAATGATCACCACATCCCATTTGAAATTGTTCACTACAGGTTCATAAGTAAGCCCATGCTTACCTTGCTTATTGGATAGTCTAGCCCTGGTAGGAGGCAAGATTTCAAAGTGGTTAAGAGCACAGACACAGGACCCAGACTGCTTCGGTTTGACGCCGAGCTCAACCATATAATAGCAATGTGACTTTGGACACGTGACTCAATCTCTTTGTGCTTATTTTCTAATCTGTAAAATGGAGTTAGTCATAGCATCCACCTCATAGAATTATGACCATTGACTGAGCTAATACATGTAAAACACTTAGAACAAAGCTTGATACATAGTAAGCCCTATATGTGTATTTGTTATTACTATAATTAATAACTTTCAGTTTGGGTTGAAATTGCATCAAGTTTTCTTATAAGAACAGTATTGCTTTCTTGACTTTCTAGTAAATCAAAAATACGAATAATGTTATAAAACAAAAACTGTAAACTTTTTCAATCATTGAACAAATAGTAAAAATCATGCCCTAAATTAAGCTGTGTACAATGGGCTTAATATACTGTACATATTGGTTCCTCTAAGGTGTACCCATGAATAGCCAACTGGCACCTGGCACATAAAATTTTGATCTATCAAAAGTTAGTATGCTATTAATAATGGAAATTAAACATTTAATGTTAATTTAGTTTGCCTTGTAGACTGTGGCAGAAGCTTTGGAGATTGTCTTGGAGGACCTGGGTTCGTTAAAGCTTTCAGGAATGTTTGAACTAATTCCTCCTTTTTTTTTTTCTTGTGATGCTGTTCTGTATAGTAAACAGTACCATGTAGAACCACTTCGTTAGTTTTGAACTGAGATCAAATTTGAATTTATTTTGGAAGGAAGGAAAGGTCAGAAGGAGCAAAGAGGGAAGAGAAAGAAGAGAGAGAGGAAGGAGGGGAGAAAGAAAGGGATCCATTAAAATATTGAAATATCTGATACCTAACAGGCCTATTTAGGATTTCAGCTATAAAGATTTAGAACCATTGAACCTTGCCTGCCCCTATAGTCTTCCACCTTGCAACTTCCCATTTGCTGCCTCTATACCAAAATTTTTCTGGGTTGGTTGTGACTATGGACTTATATACTAGTTGTCTACAGTGCTGGCAATCATATTAAACAAGTGGATAAAGGCAATAGAAGGTGAAGTCCATACTATATGTGTTTATTGGATAGTAGCAAGTATGTAGAGCAGCAAATATGAAGTAAAAAAGCCAAGAGGGACTCTTAGAGCCCCTAAAATGTTTTCCTAGCTTTATTTTTTATTTAAGCTTCATGTAAAAAGTGAGAAAGGTGATGTGAGGACAGCTACAGAAAAAAAAAAGTGTGTATGTTTTTATAAAACATGCATACTAGAAAAAAAAGATCAAGCTAATGGCAGTGTGTTGAATGATCAACTTCTTTCCAAGATAAACCTTCCAGAAAAGTGGGTGTATAAATCATGCATTAAAAATAGCAGATTTCTAAAGAAATATTTATAGAAAAAGAGAAGCATGCAGTGAAAGCTTTTAAGACAGTGACGTAAAAATATTAGGTAGGAATGTTCTAGATTATTTTTCTAATTGTTTGAGGTTTTTTTACTAATTTTTTCCCTTATGTCAGGTTTTAGAGGGCCATTCAGATTTTATTAACGGTTTGGTGTTTGATCCCAAAGAAGGCCAAGAAATTGCAAGTGTGAGCGACGATCATACCTGCAGGTATGTTGCTTTTGTTACAACCAAATTTTTGAGTTTCCATTTTATTTTAATGAGGTTTACGTTTTAAAAATGAGAGGAAATGTAACTTATATAAACACCACAAAATGTTGTAAAAGAAGCATACGTAGTTAAATTGTAGATATGACAAAAACACGGCTTTCAAAACCAGTGAGCTGAGTTCTCATCCCAGTTAATGGAAACTTCCCTTGCTAGTTCATGGGTTCCTCTCTGCCCCTTTTTTTTAGATTTGCACATTTATAAAATCTAAATATATATTGGGTCAAATTCTCCAATATTGGACAAGGTCTGTAGTATAAAACAGTTGCCACATCATGAAGGTAATTCACACATCCTGTATGATAAGTTAGTGTTTGATGATGAACATAGAGTGAACTGTGAATCTCATTTGCTAAGTATGATTCATGGAAAATTTAGTGTTTTGACAAATTCAGAAGTCTCTACGTAAGGTTTTCAGTAGGTACAGTACATTTCAGTATCATGTTCTTTGATCCCACCCCCTCATCTGGAACAGATGAAGTAGCTCCAGTATTTTAATAATACCTAAAGCTGGAGAATATCACAAATAAAGAACAAGATGAAGAGCAAGAGTAGGATGTGGAAATAGGCTGAGGAGTGAAGTGAGTTAATCAGTCATTAGAGGAGTGTCAATTACTTTGTTTGCTTTAACAGTACTGTGACCAAAAACAAAACACTGCTCTGAGATATTGCATAGTTGTAATGTTTGATAAAGCTATGTCAGAATTATCAGTATTAACACTTGTGTACGTTGAAAGCCATTAAATAATGTGTGCTTTCACATGGGAAGTAAAGCTGCTAGCTGCATTTTTAATTTTCATCTTAATATAGCTCATCCTTTTAAAGTTAGAGTCATGTGCCATTATTCTTTATTTACTGTTTACTAAATTTTTCATGTCAGGGACATGAAAGATTTACATGACATTAAGACTGTCATGTATTAAGATAAACAGTAATACCCAAGAGGAACATACTCCTTAGAATAATCATAAGATGAGAAGGCAAGAAGGGGTAGATAATCAGGACAAAAGAAAAATGAGGAAACCAGGGGAAGAAATGGTAGAGAATGCTGACACACTGTGGGAAATGAAACCAAGGTCATGAAACATGAAACACTATGTACAAACTGTAGAATAGGAAACTAATTTTCCCTGTAAACTTTCCCCTAAAACACAGTTTAAAAAAAAGATTCTCATGTATTAAGAATCCTTTCTTTTGAAAGGGCCCCAAGTATTATACCTAGTCTGGATAAAGACCTGAAGAATAAATGGGACCATTTTTAAGGTAAAAGTCAGATTTGACCACTAGAAATAAATAATGGCATTTCAGTTCTCTAAAACATGAACTTTTCTGATCACAAACATTTGGAATAAAGGAATCTGAAACGGGGGACATTAGTGTCTTTACAAGCCAAAGAATAGCCTCTGAATAATGAACAACTACCAGATAGACCAGGGATTACACTCAGTGGTCTGATTTTTTTTTTATTATAGTAAACTTTGAGATTTTTGTAGATTAGTAAAGTTTTCCAAAATTTTGGGGACTGATACAGGGTTGCCAAATTTTTATTTTGTCGAATAATAACAGTTTTTAAAATCTGGCACCTTCTGTTAACATCACTTGATAAAAGAAAGGACATTGTTACTCTAAACGGTATAAAGGGCTTAATTTCAGAGTAAGTTCTTTAAATGCATTTAACTTTTTGAAAAACTCAGTACATTTCCCCTAATACCTCATTTTGCTAGAGTGCAGTTGATGATATTGTTCAGTAAATATTTACTCTCCTCTCCTCACTACCATGAAGGAGAAAATTTTCCCATCTCATTGATGTTGGACTTAGCTAATATAATGTTAGCAGATGTGATGTGAGCAAAGATCTTTAAATTTTTTACCTGATTTGACTTGGCCTCCTGTGCTGTATCATCTGCTTATAAGGTGAACATGTCCTGGATAGCCACTGGTCCCAGAATGAGAAACACATGGAGCAGACATGGACCATTCTGGCATTATGAAATAGTGCTTCCCACAGACTCATGAAGAAAAAATATTTGCTTATTTTTGTAAGCCACTGGAATTTTGAGAGTGATACACACCATCATTGTAGTCATGGTTGGGAAGCTGAATTTAGAATTTATCAGCTTAGTTCGACAATCAGAAGTAAAGGAGAATTCTGATGGGCTATTAAAGTCAAGCCTCTTAGACCAAAAGCTGAGCAATATAGATATGATAAAGAAATAAGATATAAGTAAAACAAATTTAAAGTAAGGAAGAATAGTGAGCGTTGTATACTCTTTACAGCAGTAAAGGAAGGAATTCTGAGGAGATAGACTTTAACAGAAAAACTTTGCAGTACAACCACCTTCATTAACTCAAAGGGTAGGATTGCCAACTTACAGATAAAGACACCAGCCAAATGGCAGCTACTATACAATTTGAACAGAGGGAATAGCCATTTATATCGCAGAGGTCACTACTCTTACTGTACTAAAGTAATGCCAGCCGTAGGCTGGGTCTGCATGTTGGTGGTAGAGGTACATTAGTGAAATGTTTGTCAAATCCTAGTCAAAGCCTGCATCATATTAGGAGTAATTTTATATGCAGATGATACCATACTAAAAAAGCATACTAAATAGAGCGAGACCAAAGACAGTAATAAAGTAGAAAATTTCAGCAACGTTATTAACCAACTAGACCTAACAGACTGTTATGGATTGAATTGTGTCCCCCAAAAATGTGTGTCAACTTGGCTAGGCCATGATTCCCAGTATTGTGTGATTGCTCACCATTTTGTCATCTGATGTGATTTTCCTATGTGTTGTAAATCCTATCTCTGTGATGTTAATGAGGCAGGATTAGAGGCAGTTACATTAATGAGGCAGGACTCAGTCTACAAGATTGGATTGTCAGTGTCTTGAGATATAAAAGCGAGAAGTGAGCAGAAAGACAGGACCTCATGCCACCAAGAAATAAGAGCCAAGAGAATAGCACGTCCTTTGGACCCAGGGTCCCTGCACTGAGAAGCTCATTGAGCGGGGAAAGTTGATGACAAGGACCTTCCCACAGAGCTGACAGAGAGAGAAAGCCTTCCCTTCGAGCTGGCACCTTGAATTTGGACTTCTGGCCTCCTAGACTGAGAGAATAAATTTCTCTTTGTTAAAACCATCCACTTGTGGTATTTCTGTTATAGCAGCACTAGATAACTAAGACACAGACATATACAGAACACGCCATCCAACAATAGCAGAATACACGTTCTTCTCAAGTGTACGTGGGACATTCTCTATGATAAACCGCGTGTTGGGCCACAAATCAAGTCTCAAGACATTTAAAAAGATTGAAGTCATACAAAGTATTTTCTCTGACCACAATAGAATGAAACTAGAAATCAGTTACAGAAGAAAACCTGGAAATAACTAGTATGTGGACATTAAACAACACACCCTTAAACAACCAATAGATTAAAAAAAAAAAAAAAAATCACAGGGGAAATTAGAAAATACTTTGAGGCAAGTAAAAATGAAAACATACCAAAACTAATGAAATGCAGCAAAGGCAGTGCTCAGAGGGAAATTTATAGCTGTATATGCCTACATTAAAAAACATGAAAGATCTCAAATCAGTAGCCTAACTTTATACCTTAAGGAACTAGAAAACCCAAAACCAAACCCATTGCCGTCGAGTCTATTCTGACTTATGGTGACCCTATAGGACAGAGTAGAACTCCCTCATAGGGTTTCCAAGGAGCAGCTGGTGGATTCAAATTCACTGGAGTGGAGAAGAGTACTGATGAAGATTGCAGAAAGCGTATCTCCTATCTTGAAATTTCCCCACCTTTTGAGGTATGTCTGAAGTCCACTGGGACATTTAGATGTCGTGTAGGATGTAGAATGTCTAGCATCCCTGGCTCTTAGCCACTAAATGCCTGTAGCACCCTAATCATTGGGACAATCAGAAATACTCTTGTCTTAGTTAGCTAGTGCTGCTATAACACAAATACCACAAGTGGATGGTATTAAAGAACAAAAAATTTTTTTCTCACAGTTCTGGAAGTAAAAAGTCCAAATCAGCCTCAGCCTTCTTGATCCCTTCCTATGGCAAGCCCTGGGTGTTCTGTGGTTCCTTGGCTTATAGACGATCTTCAGATTGCATCTGTCTCCCCAGCCCTCATCCCCCATTTGTGCTTGCATCTGTGTCTCATGTGCTCTTTTTGTAACTCAGAAATGGTTAGGTTTAGGACATACCTTAAACAGTTGTGACCTCATTACCATAACCAAGAATAGGATTACATCCATAGGTGTTGGGGTTAGGATTCGAACATCTATTTTGGGGGGAAACAGTTCAATCCATAGCAACGGTCTAGGTGTTGGAGCTACCCCCTGTTGAAAGCCACCGATTTAGATAACAACAGTGTGTGACCAGGCACTATCCTAAATGCTTTTATATGAATTTGTAAGTTAATTTATATGAATCCTCATAAAACCCTTTACGGTAGGTTCTCTCATTATTACTCTTTAATAGATGAAGAACCTAAGCAGTTTGGCTCTTAAGCACTACTACACTGTGTCATGTTCTACTTTAAGGTTCTTTGAGAAGTTTTAGTTTTTTTATATGACTGAAAAGAATATATTACATATTATAATATATATTATTTATGTGTTATATAATAGAATTGAAAATAAGATGTTTGTATTTGTTACTGATTACGATCAACCATGATGTAGGGCTTAATAAAATTGATAAAAATTTTTACTTAAGAGTTATAGCTTTAGAAATATTGTCTACTGCTCATGAAGAGTTTATAATTTTTGAAAGATGCCTTTGCCAGTACACCCTGGCACCTATTCTTGAAGTGAAAATGTCATGGTCCTTCAAACTCCGTTATCCAAATTATTGCAGATGAGGAAGAAGAGTAAAGGGAGCTCCATGGTGTCCATGATGCCTAAGTAACACAGGGTTTGATTGCT